GTGGAAATGTGGTGTTGGGGCCTTGGTGTGGGAGTTGGTTTTGGTTTGGTGGTTTTTTGTTGTTTTGTTTTTCCCTGATAAAATGCCTGGTACAACTGTTTACCTCATTCATGAATGCCAAAATCTGGGCTTCTGCAAACCTAAGGGCTATTTTAAAAAACTCTGCTTTCATCCAGCTGTCGATTGGATTAGCACCTTGGAAACCCGTTAATGTCGAGCTGGGTGCTGCGATCAAGCTCGCCAAAGTCACGTTAAGGGTAAAGAGAAGACTGGTTTCCTATATAATCTCCTTTTTAATCACATTGCCACCCTAAAGCTCCTGAGCTGTTCTAAAATTTCACTCTTGTTATTTGAATGGTCCCCCATGACTGTAGATGCCATAGCAATGCCCAATTAGCTCTAAACAACAACAAAATTCTAATCAACATTGTTTTTGTCTTTTAAATGCAAACATAGCAGAGGATGCCAGTGACTACAGTAGGAGCTGCTAGCCCTCCTTGTATAGTAATTGTGGGAGAGCACAATTTTAACAGCATTTAAGTGTAAATGTGTGTGTAGGCAGCAAACAGCCAAGCACTGCAGGGCCCATGCCAAGGACCAGAGAGGACATCAGGACTAGAGTTGGCAGTTGCCAGGCTGTGAAGTGTCCATGGCCCTTACACAAGGAGTCAACAATTCCTGCTTGATATCCCCTTAATAAGTACATGGTATCTTCCCTTTTTTCTTTGTTAAAATACATTTCAGTTTGTCATAAGCGCCAAATATACATGCCAAACAATTAACCGGAATTAGTTTGGTCTTTCCATAAAAATTCTACACTTAAATAATTAACTTTAACATCAATATAACATTGTATAGCATTCTCAGAGCAGCATTTTGTGCTTTCTTCAACATCATTCAAAATAATGACATTGCTTAGACATCTGGAGAAAACTTCCTAGATAAGAAATTTTCATATTCACCAGCTGTGGCCACTCTGCCAAACTGAGTTCCCTACTGATGGTGCATTTATGGGAGTGCTTCTGATTTTCTAATTGTATGGCCCATACATTTCATTTTGGTCAGTTAATTATGAAACAAGACAATGGGTATTCCCTGTTGGCAAATTATAATTAAAATTTGCCAATGTCAGCAGTTTCACTTCATGCTAAAATTTAACATTTCACATTTTGCCTTTGTTCTGAGTCAATTTTAAAGATTTTAAGTGAAATGAAAATTTTATGGAAATAACCTTTCAACGATTTTTTCTATTAGCTTATTTCCTAGCACTCAAGAAGTAGTAGTACATCACAAGGACATAATATACCATCTCAAATCATGTCCTAACAGGACATTTGATGTCATTCTGGCTATTTCAACAAGATTAGAAGATAAGCAGTTAACAATATCTGTGTATAAATTCTGAATATTGAAATGAATTGTTCTCTTATTGGCACAGTGAGGCCTGAGCTTTGCATATTCAAAGTATAAATTGAATGAAAACATAAAGATATTTCTCCTTTTGGATTTAAAATTCTCTTCAGCATTAAATGAATGAAGAGATGAAAAATATATCTAGGAGAAGAACCCAGTATTATAAATGAAGATGTTCTATATACATGTGTGCAGTCACATGTATTTTTTTTATTCCTTATAAAATCTGTATGTTTGCTTACTGCTTCATGTCTTCATTTAGTAAATAATAATATATTAAGTCTGTACTTGAAGGAACTTGTTTGATCTTTTTAAGCAGAGAATTATTTGAGAATTTTCAGCAATTTGGAAAGTTATCTGTCCTAATGATATCCAGTTCATAAGTGGATTACCCCGTTAAAGAGAAACACATGGTATTCGGAGGATCACTTTTACTTTTTGTGGAAGACATAATATAAAGGCCATGACTGAATTTGCAAGTGTAATGATAGCTATATTAACCCAGTGAGAATTTATTACAGTAACAGACCAAACACATCAACAGATTTTACACTATGAATGTAACACTGTAGTCAAAATCTGTACTTAAGCTCCAACTGTAATGACCAAAGTTAAGTGTGGGTACAGAAAACTAACAAGAAAAATAAGAGATCTAGAGGCACCACCTAATTTAACTAAGGAGTTTCTACCTGCAAGTAAAGAAAATAACAAAACCCCTCCTATTTACAGAGCAGTGTTTCTTGCTTGAAGAACCCCCTTTCCTGAAGATGATGATACACTTCTAATACTGCAGAAGACAAGACATGTATGGTCTTGAAGAAGAAGGATCTCAAATATGATCACATATGATCACTAGCAGTGTGAAAAGTATGGCTTCATATTATAATAATACCTCATAGAAGCTACTCTAATATAATAAGTGATAGGATAGTCGGTAAATATTTGTCAAGCATGTCATTAAAACAGGAAATTATTTTTCAAACAAACTGGGTTTGTAAACCTGCCAAGGAGGAAAAGAAAAGGAAGAAAGAATAAATAGATGGGGTAATTATTAACATGACTTATCTCACTTTTATTAGACAGTTTCCCATGAAAGATGAGGAATTGGGGGCTACAGTAGCATATATTACATACATATATTACTGCAGCTCTTCCATATTGCAGTGGAAGGAGATGGAAACCTGCAGAATCCCAGAAAGACTGACTTTCAGAAGCTCTTGGGAAAAGATCCCTACTGTTCTCCAAAGCAATCCCAAAAACTCGTGTAACCCAGGGGGGAAATGTAGTTTCCTTGGCTGTCATGAATGGACAATGCACATCCACTTGGCCCTGTTTTCCTTGAATAGTCAACGTATTTCTGCTGTAGTTTCATCACAGTTTTTATGTAAGTTTGAAATTTTTTTTCATCATTTTTTAAATGATTAATTGTAATTGCATGCTCCCCCTTTTCCTGGATTGCCCTGATGTCGGGCTTTGGATTTTTTTCCATATTTGAGAAGCGAAGAAGCCCCCAACTTCTGTTTTCTACAGAAAATTTACATGACCATGTGTGTCCCTCGTGGAAAATAAATGTAATGTTGAGTTTGATTCATGTGATTTGCCAATAGAATTAAAATAAATTGATTCATTATGATTTTTTGGATGCGTGTTGGGACTGTGGCCAACACAAGACATGACCAGCACTGTAAATGATCTCTGTGGCCTGGAAGATGAAATTCCAATTTTAGCAATTCCAGCCTGACCCAAAAGGCATCTTGCCCCCTTAGGGGAGATGAGAATTGTGTTTCTGTGCTTCATGATTTTTTTTTTTTTTTAATAGGATGAGGACCAGTTTAGGCAGCATCCCTTCTGGACAGCAGAATAAACGATAGTAAAAGTGATGCCATGCCACTTGATCGGTGGAAAATATGATACGTTAACCATGGAAGTGCTATAGAAAGCTAACACCTACACTGTCCATTGTGTGATTGCCATGTCAGGCTTAATGGCTGGTTTGTTTGTTTTCCTCTTATTTAAAGGCAGTATTGCTTTAGGGTTGGTTTATGACACTGCGCCTTGCTTGGGGGCACAGTGGCACTGAGGAACTGCAGTGCTGGTGGGGAAGGGTTTGGACATGCCCTTTATGAAGGGGGTTGAGTGTTGGGGGACCCCAGAGTGTCCTGGAGGCTAGGGCTCTATGGGGTGGGGGTGTCATCACAGTCTCAGCTTTCATTAATGGTATGATAACATCAGTGGTTTCGACCACAGGCCACTGTTGTGTCAGCCATAGTAGGATTCAAACTCTACACTAAACTTCTGTCTGCTTATTGCTGCTCGTCTTTTGCCACTATTTCCACTGGGGAGCTGTGTCAGAAGTTGTGGCGAAGGGAAATTTTAAATAGCCAAATTTGCAAGGCTCTGGGGAGGTTACAGGGCCTCTGGGTATTTTCCTAACAGACAAGATTTTTCAAAAAATTCAAGAAAAGTTTGAGAGCATTTTCTTTTATTTTCTGCTCCTTTTGCTTTAGCTCAGTAGGCAGTTAAGTTTTGGAAGATCACTATAACACAGCAGGTGTATTTGGACTCCTGTAAGCAAAATATCCCTTAGAGAGTAATTTTTTTTATGTCAGTTCAAATTCAGCTTATTAAACTCTATTCGGTAACTATTATGGGCTTCAGAAAAGAAAAAAACATTTGGAAAGTTAAAATTTACCTTTATTTTAAGCTATCAGTTTAGTGACAACTGTTGTTAGCTCTAATAGTGGCTAAATGCTGCATCACTTGTGATGGGGTAATTTAATTGTTACACAGACACAAACCATGGCAGGATTCGGTCCTTCCTGGGATATGCTGACATACTATGATACGTGCACGACCACTGTTCTCAGCTATAATCTCTGTTCTCTATTTTTCTTGTAACTGTGAATTTATATTTAAGGCAAGCACTGCAGTCAGCTACAGTGATCTTTTTCAACTAGAATGTTGCATGTCTGTCAGTGAATCGTAAATGCCCTAGAAAACCATGCCTTAGTATGTTATTCCCATGTCAGTTAATAAAAGGGTGGAGGGTGACTCTGAAAAGCAGAATATAGAAATTCAATGTTTTGTTTGCCTTTTGCCATACTAGGATCTAGTATTTATGTGTTAAGTGGTACGTTGCAGTTATTCTTTGCTTCTTTCCTCTGCTGATGTCAGAAAAATATAAGCAGTAAGTAGAGGGTTAAATTCCTGCTCAACAGGCATATTTTTGGATTTACGTTTTTGTAAGAGAGCTCGGAGTGGAGCTCCGTGCTTTGCAGTGGAGGGAAGCGCTGCGTGACAGAACCAAGAGTCCGAGGGAAATGTGGCTCGTAGCAGACATACACGACAGGAACGAGACGCTGTACCAGCGCTTCCAGTTTCACAGGGACTGTGCGTTTTCCAGCTGTTTACCCTTGAGATGTAAAATGGCAATTTGGCATAGGCTAACAACCCGGTGTGATGTGAGCATCTGCGTAAAAGGCTGCACATATGGAGCATGCCCAGTGATATGAACAGCCTGTTACCCCACCCCCAGCCAATCTAGGAAGAGATGAAATGAACTTTGCACTTGCAAATGTCACTGAATACATTTTGCACAGCATTTTAAAAGGTTCTCTTATAAGCACTATTTTTAACAGCCAAATCCGCCCCCCAAAACAGAAAGGAAAAACCCTAGGTATTTTTCTGTGATAGATCTCAGTTTATGATCAATTGAAGCATCTCTCACAACATTTACCTGAAGCCTGGCTTATTTTACCTTTTTATTATTCAAGTTGAGATTTTTGGAGGTGGTGTGGATTTTTTTTTTTTTTTTTTTTTTTACTGGCATAAGAAAATTTGAGAATTTAATTGCAGTAGAATACTTGGAAACAGTGAGGCTGCAAGCTTGAAAGGCAGAGGGAAGAGAAGGAAGGCTCTCACAGCAGAGCATGGATAGGAAAGGAGCAGTGATTCTGCGGTGCTCAGTGTGCACATGTTTTATGAGATCAGTGCCGGGCGCTGCAGCTGCGGACAATAACTGAGCTGTCTGGCTAATGAAGGCCACCTGGATCAGGCTTCTGAAAAGAGCCAAAGGAGGACGTCTGAAGAACTCTGATATCTGTGTAAGCCATATGTTTGCATTATTGGCATATACTGTATGTATTGCAGAGAGGGAGAGAAAAAAAGACGGTGAGGAGAGGACAGTTGTTTTCATTCTGAGTGAATTAGCAGAACTCTATTTTGTATGCAGGGAGATGCAGAGGGAAAGCAGAGCTGTCATTATTTATAGAGCTGTTCTGGCATTGTGGCTGCTTCCATTGTAGCGATACGGGGACATGTGTTGAGTCCAGACGGATTTTATTAGTTGGAAGTTGATTTGTGGTCATTTGCATGTTTTGCTGAAGGGCTGAGATGGATACGAGCCATTTGCAGTTCTGATGGGGAAAGTGTGTCAGGTAAAGAGGTTGCCCTAAAATAAAAAGGGATAGTGGAGGTTAAATCTGTTAGCAGTGATATTGTGTAATGGAATTATTGATACTGAATTCGCATTTTTGTTATAAAAAGTCTATTTCCTTGCTACTGCTGTCACTGTTTAGAGTTTTAATTTTTATGGAGCCATCCTTGAAGCTGCTGTGTGTCCTTCAGCCCTGCACTGCACCACTGCTGTAACTCTACAGAGCAACTGACTCTGCTCGCTGAAAAGCACACAAATAAGAGCACGGGGATGGTGCAGGAAATAAAACACTGGGGAAGACACCTGCACTTTTGGAAAGTCTCCCGAAGAAAACATTTGCCTAGACATAATTTTTCTAAGTGACTTTCCCTCTTGGGCATTTATTCTCTTTTCAGGGATACAGAAGTAAGAGAAAAGGCAAGGTGCATAACCACTTCTACCTTTTTTTTTTTTTTTTTGAGCACTGAAACAACTTGTGACATTATTTTTCCTTTTCTTGTGCAGGGTTCGGCGGACTCCTACACCAGCCGTCCATCCGATTCAGATGTATCTCTGGAAGAAGACAGGGAAGCAGTGCGGAGAGAGGCAGAGCGACAGGCCCAGGCACAGCTGGAAAAAGCAAAGGTAAGGTGTTACTTCATGTCACAGACTCATAAAATGTTCTGCTTTAAAGGACTGTCATCTCATCCATTACTGTTCTTAATGTGTTAACATATAGCATAAGACCTCTTATAAAGATTTTCCTGACAACAGTAGAAAATATATTTTCTAGGAAAAATCACTTAGAATCAGTTTTCCATAAAAGGCACTTGATTGGCTTGTGTATTTCAGAATAATCTTATTTAAATGTGTTCATTTTTTTCTCTTACTGAATATACCCATTTATTTGCGGTGTATAGGGTCAAAGCTTTGAGTTCTTACTGAAGATGTTTGTGGAAGTTTGCCTGTGGATCACTATGGCACTCAAAACTTAACAGTTCTAGAAATCAGCCCTCAAACATCCTATTTGTCTTCCTTCAGTGAAGGATTGGTCCCTACAAAGTCATATGTAAACAGGGAGAATCTGTTACAAAGGTCTTTTTTGCCTGAAGACTTCACTGGCTTTCTTTACAGTTTGTGTGTTAAATGACCCCGTGAGTAATATGTCCTAGACTTGTTAAGATTTCTCCTTCTATCTCCATACTCCTGGCAGCTAGTGACAGTTTAGTAAGGAAATATGAAATTAGCTTTGGGTTCTTGCTGTGTGTTTATATATTTTCCATGAGATGCACTTAGGACTCTCAGGGTTTTAGCAGTGAAAGGGTATGGGCTTGTTTTTCTTTCATCCGTGCTGTACCTATTGCACCTGTAAAAATCATGCTCATCTTATTTGTTATTTGTTTATCACGTCATTCCAGTTTTTCTTTCTTGTATGGTATCTGCCAGATCTTGGTGTATCACTGTTTTCCAAGATCTGTTTTCCGCTTTCATTTATCATATTTAAATATTTAAATACGCTGTTGAGATCCCTCCTCAGACCTGATCTATATTACTCTCTGACTCCCCTCCTCCATTTTGCCTTGCTTTTTACTTGCCTATCTCCCTTCCGTCTCCCATTCTGTTTCCTTTTCCGCTGCCAGCTTTGCCTCTGCCCGTTTATGCCACCTGTTTTACAAGAGTTCTCCCGACATTCAGGAGTCCAGGTCATTGAGCTATGCATCTGATTGTATTGTGAGGGCCAGCTCCATAAGTAATACAATACTATAATGCACAAGCAGACAGCTTCATCAGGCCAGAAAACTTGAACAGGGAAGCCAAAGATTTATTTTTTTTTAAATGTAATTTTTGACCGATATTTAATAAGAGCTCCTAAAGCAGCTTTTTAATGAGATGCTGGAACTTGCCAAGAGATCCTGAACATCTCTTTGAAGTCAGGTCCTGCTGTCTTGAGATTGGTATAGCAGAAACTGGACAGAAACAGCTCGCTTCCTCTTTTCCACCTTGTATCTTAGAGATGGTGCTGATCATAATCAGGAGTTTCAGTTTTATCAGGTTTGCTTTTTGCTACTTTGAGATTTCTTTGCTCCTAGAAAAGATGATAAAGGCTGCCCTGAAATTCAGGTGAAGTGTCAAATTTTATCAGTAAATGATAAAAAAAAAGAGGAGTTGAAGAAAGAATATCTTGCAGACTAAGCAGGGTAGCAGTACAGCACTTGCTGCTGAACTGGTGCATCTCTTAGCGATGAGTAAATCTATGCGAGTGTTGCTATGGGAATTTGGCTTACTGATGCTGGCTTGGATGCATGGACAGCCCTTATGTAATATTCATGACCTCTAGCACAGCTGCCATTGTAGTTTGTAGGGAA